ACAACCCCTTAGATTTTTATGACATTATCTGTTTTAACCTTCAGAGTACTGACCAGGCTCTATCATCATCTTCGATATGCATTTGCTTATTTATTTTTCTTTGTTTTATCCACTAGTCTGAAAGTTTCATGAAGACAGTACCTGGTCTTATTTTCCACTGTATCCCCAGGGCTTAGAAGAATGCTTAGTAAGCACATAGTAAGTTCATGACAAACATTTATTGGATGAAAAGTATAAATAGAATCCTGCAATCTAAAACACTTTTTTGAGAGTGGCCATATGCCATAACTCCTTCACAAATTCTCTATTATCAAAAATAGGATTGGGCTGGCACGGTGGCATAGCAGGTAAAGCTGCTGCCTGCAGTGCTGGCATCCCATATGGGCGCTGGTTCAAGTCCCTGCTGCTCTACTTTCAATCCAGCTCTCTGCTATGGACAGGGAAACAGTGGAAGATGGCCCAAGTCCTTGGGCCCCTGCGCCTGTATGGGAGACCCAGAAGAAGCTCCTGGTTCCTGGCTTCTGATTGGCACAGCTCTGGCAGTTGCAGCCAACTGGGGAGTGAACCAGTGGACGGAAGATCTCTCTTTCTCTCTCTGCCTCTCTGTAACTCAGCCTTTCAAATGAATAAATAAATCTTTAAAACAAAATAGGATGGTTTTTCTTTTTTTTCAATATTGTATAGACTATACTTTTATAGTCCTACCGTTTGTTTTGTCTATTTGGTTTCATTCTCCTTAATGCTTTCTGACTCTCCTCTTTGCTTTTTATGTGCTAATAATTTATGTTAAATGGAACACAAAAAGGCACTGTGAGTTGTGTTTCTAGCCTCCCCAGTCTATTTCACATTTCTGTGCCTTTGTTTTTTCTACTTGTCCCTCTGTCTAAAACGCTCTTTCATTCTCCTCATGTTTATTTCCCTTCAAGATTCTTCTCAGTGTCTTCCCCAGGGAGCTTTCCCAGGTTAACTGACTCTACATTTTTATTTATCATTTACCACATTATAGAAAATTTATGGGGGCTGTTGCTGTGGCTCAGCAGGTTAACGCCCTGGCCTGAAGTGCCGGCATCTCATATGGGCGCCAGTTCAAGACCTGGCTGTTCCACTTCCTATCCAGCTCTCTGCTATGGCCTGGAAAAGCAGTAGAAGATGGCCCAAGTCCTTGGGCCCCTGTACCCGTGTGGGAGACCTGGATGATGCTCCTGGCTCCTGATTGTTACAGCTCCAGCCGCTGTGGTCAACTGGGTAGTGAACCATTGGACAGAAGACTCTCTCTCTCTTTCTCTGCCTCTCCTCTCTCTGTGTAGGTCTGACTTTCAAATAAATAAATAAATCATTAAAAAAAACCCAGAAAATTTATGTTTAAAATGTCTGTTTTTTAGGACCACAGTAAATTCTTAGGATCATCTCTTTATATCCATGAAGCCAAGTTCAAAAATCTTCAATCTGTATTTCAGTTATTAACTCTCTTCTTGATTTTGTAGCTTTCCTATTCCTAGCCACAATTTTGCCACATATCACTGAATATAAAACACCATTTTATCAAATCATAAAATCATTTTATATATGTATATGGAGTACACAGAGTAGTTTACTATACAGTACCTGAACTGATATTTACTCATTCACATTTTATTCTTACTTCTAACATTTTTCCTAATTGTGCTCATTCTGTGGGTAAACACTATTTTCTTTAAGGCATCAAAATAGAATTTTATATTGTATAACAAATATATGAATATCCATCAAATCATATTTTTTATACAATTGTTACCAGATGCAAACTTTAGGGAATGAATTAAACCTGTACAGGACACTGTACAAAGTATCCTGGAGAAAAAAAAAGAACTTCTTTTCCTAAAAAGTTTACTGTATAATTAGGGAGACAACATACAAACATGAAAAACCTAGCTAAGCATGAACTCTTGGGATTAATTTAAAAATCAATAGAGCAAGTACTAATTGGCTCTATTTTTAAAGGTTATAACGTCTTTATTTAAGGGCTTAATGCCCCCTAGTGGATCAAATAAGTATTACTAAAAACTATAACACTAGAGAATTTAAATGAAAAAGATCAATACAATATTTTACCATTTCTGTTTCTTCTGATGAACTCTGGCAAATGGCAAAAACAATTTCCATTTCCTGTGTGGTGGACAACAATATATGATCCTTTCAAACTGTCACTGTTAGATATCTGTTTTCATAATTCCTTCATGAACCTTGTCACCTCATTTATCTTCTGTGTACTGCCTGACTCGCTGAATGGTGAATGTATGTGTGATGGAAAATTGAGTGATACGTCAGAAATAAGTATTAAAGTTAGGAAAATATGATGATGGAGGACAAATTCATATGTCTTGCAGCTTATCAGTTTTATTGGGAAGGATAATTGCATATTATATTTCTTTTAGCTCCATCACAATCAGCAAACCATATTCCAATTTAATAAGATCAGTGTATTTACTTATCCAAGTTATTCATTGTGGAGCTGCTAAATGCCAGGTAGTGGGAATAGTGTAAATGACAAACAAACTGACAAATTCCCTTCCTCCTCCAGTCTAGTGCAAGGGATAGACCTTAAACAGATAAACATGAAAAACTAACCACAGGCCGGCGCTGCGGCTCAATAGGCTAATCCTCTGCCTTGCGGTGCCGGCACACCGGGTTCTAGTCCCGGTCGGGGCGCCGGATTCTGTCCCGGTTGCCCCTCTTCCAGGGGAGGATGGGCCCTGCACCCCATGGGAGACCAGGAGAAGCACCTGGCTCCTGGCTCCTGCCTTCGGATAGGCGCGGTGCGCCGGCCGCGGTGGCCATTGGAGGGTGAACCAACGGCAAAAAAGGAAGACCTTTCTCTCTCTTTCTCTCTCACGGTCCACTCTGCCTGCAAAAAACAAAAAAAAAACAAAAAAAAAAAACAAAAAAAACCAAAAAAAACCACAAAAAACAAAAACACACACACACACAAAAAACAACAAAAAACAACACAAAAAACTAACCACAATTGTGGTAAGTTCTATAAAGAAAACGTACATAATATCATGAGCAAATATAGCAAGGTGCCTAATCTAGTTTTTGTTTAGGGGGACAGGGAGAGAGTAAGATAGGAAAATACATTATTTTTTTAAGAAAAAGTATTTTTCCTCAGTGGTGGTATTAAAAGTTCTGTTCATTCGTTCGTTCTTTCTCTCTCCCCTCCCTCCCTCCCTCCCTCCCTCCCTTCCTTCCTTCCTTTCTTTCTTTCTTCTTTTTTTAAGATTTATCCATTTATCTTGAAAGGGCTACAGAGAGAAAAAGAGACAGAGGGATTCTCCATCTGCTGGTCACTCCCTAGATGGCCACAACAGCTAGGGCTGGGCTAGGCCGAAGCCAGGAGCCAGAATCCTTCTCTAGGTCTCCCTTGTGGGTGCAGAGGCCCAAGGACTTGAGCCATCTTCAGCTGTTTTTCCCAGGCCATTAGCAGGGAGCTGGATGGGAAGTGGAGCAGCTGGGACACAAACCGACACCCACATGGGATGCTGGCGTCGAAGGTGGTGGCTTTACCTGTTACACCAGAGTGCCAGTTCCTAAAAGTTTTTTTTATTTCTTTTAGATAATTAAAATATTTTCTAAGTATATCAGCAGGGCCGGTGCTGTAGTGCAGTGAGTTAAAGCCCTGGCCTGCAGCACCGGCATCCCATATGGGTGTCGGTTTGGGTCCTGGCTACTCCACTTATGATCCAACTCTCTGCTATGGCCTGGGAAAGCAGCAGAGGATGGCCCAAGTCCTTGGGCCCCTGCACCTGCATGGGAGACCTGGAAGAGGCTCCTGGCTTCAGATCAGCTCAGCTCTAGCCATTGCGGTCATTTGGAGAGTGAACCAGTGGATGCAAGACCTCTCTCTATCTCTCTCTGGCTCTACCTCTCTCTTTAACTCTTTCAAATAAATAAAATAAATCTTAAAAAATGTATTACCACTGTATATGGATATATGAGTACAATAAAAATATGGGTAGGGAACTTAGCGATAATACACAAAGAAAATATCAGCTCCTCTTTGTGGTGGAATGAAATGAAAAGGTCATATCAAGATGGCTGCTGAGGTGAAAAGGTCATGCCAAGATGGCCACTGACAACAGAAACTGCCTGGCAACAGGCCGTGATTGGATGGCTTCGGAAACCACATGACAACAGAGCCTTACTGATGGAGGCCGTGATTGGATGGTTTCAGAAACTGCCTGGCAACAAGAGCCTGACTGGCAACAGGCTGTGATTGGTTGGGGCATAGACCGCCCCTTGACCAGATTGGCTGGTCTTGGCTATATAAGCTGTTGTACTAACTGAAATAAACGAGTCTGCGGGCTGCTTGCTTCAAGCCTGCTTTCACCCAACTCCCGGGGTCTGTGTGGTGACTATGCACCTCTTGCCCTCACCACACTCCTCCTCTCAGAAACCAATCCACTGCAACATTGTTGAGAAATCAACTGCAACACCTCTTAATCTCTCACACATAAAAGTAGAAATCAGGATGTCGGGGTGGAAAGAAGGAAAAAAGTCAAGTGTTAGGGAAGATCAATGGGAACTAAATAGGACTTCAGTTGGCTTTTTTTAAATAAGATTTATTTATTTATTTGAAAGAGTTACACAGAAAGAGGAGAGGCAGAGAGAGAGAGTGAGTGACAGGTCTTCCATCCACTGGTTCACTCTCCAATTGGGCAACAGCCAGAGCTACGCCAATCTGAAGCCAGGAGCCAGAAGCTTCTTCTGGGTCTCCCACACAGGTGCAAGGGCCCAAGGACTTGGGCCATCTTCCACTGTTTCCCTGTCCATAGAGAGAGCTGGATTGGAAGCAGAGCAGCCGGGTCTCGAATCGGCGCCCATGTGGGATGCCAGTGCTTCAGGCTAGGGTGTTAACCCGCTGTGCCACAGTCCGGCCCCTGACTTTTGTTTTAAAAGCTCAAGGATTGCTTACGTCAGTGTTCAGTAATAAAGGCTCTGACAGATTTGATCATTAAAATATATGCGATCACAAAACTCAAAGTGTAGAGATAAAAACAGATACTGAAGGTAAAATAAAAGCAAAGGAATATTGTAGAACATTATTTGCCTATGAAGGTACTAATGAAGATGAACTTACATTTAAAGAGGGGGAGATAATCCATTTGATAAGTAAGGAGACTGGAGAAACTGGCTGGTGGAAAGGTGAACTTAATGGTAAAGAAGGAGTATTTCCAGACAATTTTGCTGTTCAAATAAGTGAATTGGATAAAGATTTCCCAAAACCAAAGAAACCACCACCTCCTATTAAGGGTCCAGCTCCAAAGCCTGACTTGATTGCTGCGGAGAAGAAGTATTTTCTGTTAAAGCCTGAAGAAAAAGATGAAAAATCAGTGCTGGAACAAAAACCTTCTAAACCAGCTGCTCCACAAGTCCCACCCAAGAAACCCACTCCACCCACCAAAGCCAATAATATATTGAGATCCTCTGGAACAACGTACCCAAAGCGACCTGAAAAACCAGTTCCCCCACCACCTCCTATAGCCAAGATTAATGGGGAAGTTTCTATCATTTCATCAAAGTTTGAAACTGAGCCCGTATCAAAACCAAAGTTAGATTCTGAACAGTTGCCACTTAGACCAAAATCAGTAGACCTTGACTCATTTACAGTAAGGAGCTCTAAAGAAACAGATGTTGTAAATTTTGATGACATAGCTTCCTCAGAAAACTTGCTACATCTCACAGCAAATAGACCTAAGATGCCTGGAAGAAGGCTGCCTGGCCGCTTCAATGGTGGACATTCTCCAACTCAGAGCCCAGAGAAAAATTTGAAGTTACCAAAGGAAGAAGATAGTGCCAATGTAAAGCCATCTGAATTGAAAAAGGATACATCCTACTCTCCAAAGCCATCTGTGTATACAACTTCAAGTGCATCTAAAGCAAATTCAGCTGCATTCTTAACTCCATTAGAAACCAAAGCTAAACTAGAGGCAGATGATGGGAAAAAAAATTCCCTGGATGAACTCAGAGCCCAGATTATTGAATTGCTGTGTATTGTAGAAGCGCTAAAGAAGGATCATGGGAAAGAACTGGAAAAACTGAGAAAAGATTTGGAAGAAGAGAAGGCTCTTAGGAGTAATCTAGAGATGGAAATAGAGAAGCTGAAGAAAGCTGTCCTGTCTTCTTGAGGTGGTGCGGACCCAAAGGTTTTTAATGCTACAAAGATTCAGAAGCAACACTATGGACTTCAACTGACTTCTTACTTAACAAATGCTGGTGTTGTGATAAATATTAGCATATGAACTATAATATCTATGGAAATGTAAGGGGGGGTGAAATTTTTTTTATATATTTTGTTTTGCCAATATGAAAAAAAGAGGCCTTATTTCTTACTGTGCTGGGATTGCAGACTTTTTTTTATCTGTTTGCTTGAAAATACTACTGAATCTGTATAAAAAGGAAAGAAAGTTCACAATAGTTTTTTATTGAAACTTGTAGTATTATTTTTAAAGAGATCTATACTATAAATATGGTATTATCTTTACAAGTAATCTGTAAGATAAACTATTTGAGAGGTTCAAATTAGCTTTATAGTAACTATAGTCACTACTTTTCCCATAGTGCATAAGAGATATAGACTTTGTGGGTGTATATATACGTATTTACTTCTGGCTTCTTACCCAGGATTACACTGTTGTGCCTGTTTGTCTGCAGTGCTGTTAATATTTTGGGTGGTGAAATAGTTTCCTAGCTGTAAACCATATTACCCACCCATGCATATAGTGATGACTAGTGAATTAATCAAAATATTCAACTTTTAAAATATTTTATATTGCTTGCACTATGGCATTCATAAGAGGAATTTAGTTAAAATGTTTTGGGTTGTTAAACATATTGGAAATGTGAGCTTTATTTTAAATTTATTAAGTCTAAGGAATCTAAAAACATCAGTTTAACCACTTACTTGTGCCTAGAAACCACAGCACATATGAAATAATGTAAACACCAGCCTTACTGCTATACTTTTCTGCAAATATTACTCATCGGTGTTTTAGTTCTTCATGGTCCTCCCTCTGATTTTGAATAATGTGCATATTTGGAAAACAAAACCCACATCTTTTCACAAACATGTGGTTTCATACTTTATAAGTAATCATCATGTAAATACTCAGGTTTTACAACGTACAATTTACATAATACATCAAACTCATGGAGATATTATGAACTGTAATTTATGTACCAACTTTGGAATGAGTGTTAGTACAGGTTAAGCATCCCTAATCCAAAAGTCCAAAATAGAAAATGATCCAAAATCTGAAATTTTTTAAACATTAACATGATACCTCATGTGGAAAATTTCACATATGACCTTCAGTGATGGATTGCTTTCACAATACATACCAAATGTATTGTATAAAATTATCTTTTGTCTATGCATATAAGGTATATATGAAACATAGAGGATTTTATGTTTAGATTTGGATCCATTTTCCATGATAGTTCATTATGTATAAGCAGATACTCTAAAAATTTGCAACACTTTTAATCACAAGATTTGAGATAAGGGATACTCAACCTGCAAGTCATAAAACATCATTATACCTTATTTAAACCAAGTATAGTTGACCATAATGAAAATACATTTTGATAGAATGGATGAATTTGTTTCTTCAAAGTCACTTATGAACAGCTGAATGCTTTAAAATGTTATTCTATAGGTAGTATGTCTAAAAATACATGTGAGTTTATTTAAAATCTAAAAAGTGAAAATTTGGGGTTTTAAACTGTTTTATTTGCAAATGAATACCAGTTACCATACTTCCATTTTTTGTTATTCTAAACCAACAAACCAGTATTCTTCCTTTATGTTTTAATCTCATAATACAGAAATTGTGTAAATGAAATTTTGTCTTGTTGTTTGAAAAATGAGAACTGAAGTACAAAATAATAGAAATTCCAATACATGATTACTTAATGTTTAATTTGCAACTTCTGTTTGAACTTTTGAGGAAAGCTAATTGTGCATTGAGTATGTATATTTGAATTCTTTAAAGTCTTCAGACTCTTCTACCAAACAGAATTATTGTCCCCTATTTTGTTAAGTGACTTGCCAAATGAATGATTTCATTCTTGTTAAGTAAATTAGACCTAGAAACCATCCTCCAGCTTTCCCACTGAAAAAACAATAGTTACCCCTCACCACCTGAATAATGAGGTGGGGGATGTTCTAGCAGATTGCAGACTATTTTTAGTTTTTTGGGTCATTTTTCAGTAGTACATAAAATCAGTATGGTCATGTGAGTACTGAAATACATTTAAAGCTTTTGCTGGTATGTTTCTCAGTCAAAATAGACAAGTAATTGAAGTATTATGTCTATTTTTCTGCCCTTGACAAAATAGTAAAGAAAAACCAAACAAATAAAAATTAAAGGGGAAAATTACTCCTTTGATCTAGCAGTTTATCAGTATTGCTCGTTATGGTGAAATTTACTAATTTTTTGTCTTACTAATGTTCATATCACAAAGTGATATGCAATAAAAATAGTCTTCACTTGGAGGATAAATCATTTGGTTTTTTCCCCACACATAAATATAAATAACAGGTTCAAGGTAAATAGCATGGAATCTGTTGTTGCCAAATTTTTAGTGAATATATTGTTCAGGTTTGCTATTCTTTGAAACATGTAATACTAGTTTCAATTTTATTTCAATATTATTTGTGTGTGTGACCATTAAACTTCTGTCTTATTTTAAAATGGTTACCTCTTTCCAACTTCACAGAATTTTACAGAATTAAATAAATTGTAAGGATTTTACAAAACTTTATAAAAAAAATCTGAAGATGCAGAGAGAATGAGCCTTGTGTGACAAAGGATTCTTTTTTATGCTCCATACTATTGATCAGAAAAAAAAAATTAAGTACTCTCCAGATTTTTTGATAAACATCTTATGCTTGCATTTAAACTTGAAGTGTATGAACAGAATGAGACAATCAGTTAAAATCAGAAATACAGAGTGTTACAATTTAATGGCCTTGTTTTGCTGTAGCAATAAAATGACCAAGTGCAATGACTTGATTAAATAAAATCATCTTTTAAAAAGTTAAAAAAAAAAAAAATATATGCGATCAAGCTGGACATACGCCAGTACTTTTCTAACTTACCATGGAATATTCTGGAATACTTGCTTTATCCCTTTTTTAGTCAAGGCATATGGGGAATTAAATCATCCAAAGATGCTTTACTAACTTACCACAGGTAAAAAAATAAATACATGGTGCCAGCTTTGTGGTGCAATGGATAAAACTGCTGCCTGCAACACCAGCATCCTATGCATATGGGTGACATTTGAGTCTTGGCTGCTCCTTTCCAATCCAGTTCTCTGCTAATGGCCTGGGTAAAGCAGTGGAAGATGGCCCAAGTGCTTACTTAGGCCCCTGCCATCCATGTGGGAGACTCAGAAGCAGCTCCTAGCTTCGGTCTGGGTACCTCTCCCTGGCCATTGGGACTATCTGGGGAATGAACTAGTGGATGGAAGATCTTGCTTTCTTGTCTCTGTAAGTCTGTCTTTCAAATAAATCCATCTTAAAAATTAATTAATTAATTAAAATGTCACAGGAAGTTATACATAAGAAGCCCATATATAAATGTATTTTTTTTTTGTGGGAGGGCAGGAGTATAAATACATGTTGAGCCAAATTATAAACAGAAAGCTGCATGAAGAAGAGTGATTAGGTGAATCAACTATTTAATGGAATCAGGCTAATTCCCAATATATTATTTTCATTCTAGAGATTTTTTTTAAGATTTATTTTATTTATTTGAAAGACAGAGTTACAGAGAGAGGGAGAGACAGAGAGAGGTCTTCCATCCACTGGTTCACTCCCCAGATGGCCACAATGGCCAGAGCTGAGCTGATCTGAAGCCAGGAGCCAGGAGCTGCATCTGGGTCTCCCACATGGGTACAGGGGCCCAAGGACTTGGACCATCTTCTACTGCTTTCCTAGGCCCTTGCAGAGAGCTGGATCGGAAGAGGAGCAGCTGAGTCTAGAACCGGCGCCCATATGGATGTCAGTGCTTCAGGCCAGGGCTTTACCCCGCTGCGCCACAGCACTGGCCCTGAGATGGCTTTGTTAATGGGATGAGATATACAAAGCGATTTCAAAAAGTTAATGAATAAAAAGAATTAAAGGATGAGATCAGGGACCAGTGTTGTGGTATGGAGGGTTAAGCCACCATTTGGAGTGCTGGCATCCTATGGGGTTCTAATCCTGGCTGCTCCACTTCTGATCCTGCTCCCTGCTAGTGTGCCTGGGAAAGCAGCAGGCAATGGTCCAAGTGCTTGCACTCCTGTACCCATGTGGGAGACTCGGAAGAAGTTCCTGGCTTCTACCAGGCACAGCCCTGGCCGTTGTGGCCATTTAGGGAGTGAATCAGTGGATGAAGATCTCTGTCTCTCTCCGCCCTGTCTCTGTAATTCTGCCTTTCAAATCTTTTTTTTGTTTTGTTTTGTTTTAAAGATGAGTTTATTTTGGTGCAAAACCTTTATGAAATCCATGACTAGTTTTTCATAATATGTGTTTTCCATGAGTTTTTTGATGACTCCTCACATATATGGATTTCAAAATTTTTCACCCAAAGAAACTTCTCTTTTAATTTCATTCTCCATGAATTTTTTGAAGTACCCTCATATATGTTGCATTCTAATTCCAAGCTAGCTAAGTAGTTGTCAGACTTGAGTGTGCATCAAAATCACACCCAATAAAATAGATGGCTGGACCTGAATTGTGGAATTTGATTCAGTAAATCTGTGATGAAGATTGGAGAATCTGCATTTCTGACAAGTTCCTAGGTAATGGCCACACACTTGAAAACCATGGGCTTAGCCACTGAGACTGTCTGATGACGAACACTTGTGACTACATGGCTATAGGTATATCCCAAAGTCCAGGATCATTTCAGTCTCTTTTAGACTACTGTGTAATTCTTTGCCCTGATTCATTCTTGCTGACCTTTCAGTTTAACTTCCTCCCATCAAGTTCTTGAAAAGCACACTAATAATCTATGAAAATCCTCTCTCATAAACATGCATGCATATCAATATACTTTATTTTCTTCTTTGGGCTAGATTAGAAAATCCAGAATAATTGTTAAGCATTAGCTCCTGGAGAAAAAAATTCAGTTAAGTATTTAGTATAAATTGGCATATGCAGATGGTAATGAAGAAAAGACAGAAAATTCTAAGATGTGAATCCTATAAAAGTTTATAATCCAGTCAAGTTCATAATTTCTTCTGATTGCTTTACAATGTCCAAAGTACTTTTACATCATTATCAGATGTGGAACTCATGTATTCTGATGAGTAGTTAACCATCCTTTCTAGTTCATTAATAGTAATGAATAGTAGCTTTACACTTGAGAATCTGGTCGTATTTGTTGAACAATTGTGCCCAAAGCATGAAATAACTCCTTTCAAAAACTAGTCCCTAGTTCTAATGACATGAGAGGGGAAAAAGGTATGACCAACTCTTTTCCCTTTCTTTTTTCTTCCCCAAACCGTTTTGGTCTTGCAAGAAAATCTTTGTCACTTTTTGCTCTCAGATTTCCATTGCATATTTTATAGGCCTAGAGGCATGGGAGGGGTGAGTATTTTGAAGTATTTCCTTAACTCTAACAGTCTCCTCCAAGGGCACATACTTTGTCTAATTATGTTTTTCAATCTGTGATTTTTAATATTCACACTACAAAACAAACAAAACATGAAACTCAGTTAGGGATCCTGTTATTGTTCTCTTATTTATTACCTGCACAGTGGCAATTTTCTTATGTGTCAATTAGATTGAAAAGGAATTTATCATCAGTCAAGAACAGGACTTTTCATCCCTATTCTCATTTCCCTAAATTCCAGTCAGCAAGCCATATAAATTGCTATAATAAATGCTTGCTTTCTTTTAATTCTCTCTATCCCTCT